CTGGAGTAGAGTTTCTCATTGGTGAACCGATGTCAAAACTGCACTTAAAGATGTTTGACAAGAGTCACCTAATAGCTGAAATTATAACAATCACATAGATGTAAAACTGTGGAAAGTTGGAGTTGGAGTTAAATAGCAATGGATTGCAAAAAGTGCAGTCTGTGACTTCTGAGCTTCTTCTGTACTGTTTGTTGCCCTCAATCACCCCCAATCTAGGCTGAGAATAAATGTCTAGCTAAATCTGCCCCTAAAATAGTCCGTTTGTGCAGAAGCCTCAATTCCTTTCATTTTCTTGACACGCTTCCTGAAATACTCTTTAGTTAGCCTTGACACTCATACTATATGTAACAAAGGATCCACTAATCTTCCTCTCGCCCAGCTGATCTCAGTTAGTCCCAGAGTAGTAGAGACAGAAAACTGCATTATTTGGGGTTGGCTGGTCAGAAACCTGCCCTATTAACCCTTTTGGTGACAAATGTGAGATTAGCACAAAAACGTATAGGCAGGACAGTTCCTTCTCCACACTGGACTGCTTTTAAAATAAGCCTTCTAGACTTTTCTTTGCCATTGCTGCCATTCTGGCGACATATTACTACACTGGAGAAATCGTTTTGAAAGATCTCTCTGTGTGATCTCTTTTCCTAATAGACGCCATAGCTAAGGGGGTTCCCTCTTGCTAGAGTCGTATGTGTACTTCGTGGCTCATTTGCAGTAGCTACAAAAGGGATATCCCCTCCTATTACATTTTAGGCAGCAAGAAACCACCCATTCGTTAACTGGAGAGCTGTGCTTCCTATTCTTTCATTGATCAATGAATCATCATTCATAATAGCTGCTTGTTCCAGGAACCACAGCCTTCCCATTTGCCATGAATACCCTCCATTCAGAAAGATAATGCTCACTTTCGAGTAGGTCAGAGCTTTCTTTTTTTTAACTGTACAGAAAAACACAGATTGTTTGTCAATAGCTTCATAAGGCTCAAATCTCCACCTGATTGCTGAGGCAATTGAATTTATTTCTTTTTGCCAGCGTGTGGCATGATCCTTTTGTTGTTGCTCCTAGCCACAGTTTATGCTTGATTTACAGAAGAAGGGGAGAGGCGGACAGCTTAGATATGAATCGAAACACTAATCAACAGCTATCATTGACAATATCTCCCCTCTATTATACGTTTGTTTTCCCTACAATAAAACCACTGAATACACGCACACAGATATATCTCATGAGGCTCTCATCATTTTTTCTAACGGGTTTTGAATAACCTTTGGCCATTCTGTAGAAATCCAGCTGAGAAAGAAGAATATAGACACATAGAGATTGTAGAATTGGAAGGAACCATGAGGGTCACCTAGTCCAACTCCCTGCAATGCAGGCAGGAATCTTTTGCACAACATGGGGCTTGAACCCATGACCCAAAGCTTACTGAGACTCCCAGTTTGAGTACAAGACTGCCACTTTAGGAAACCAATAGACCAGGTTATCCTCCTCACTGGTTAAGAAGTTTATTCCTGACTGGGTAGTTCGGAGATTGCAATACGCAAGTAACAATCATATTTTACTTACTTACTTACTTACTCACTCACTCACTCACTCATGTACTTACTCCTAAAAAACCCCTAATACCCTGCCTTTTCTATTTAAAAACTCACAATGTTATTAGACGTTTTGTAAAATTGTGGGAGTTTCTGCTTTGAATCCACACAAACACATATGTCCTTTATGGCAGCTAGGGATGGATAAATCTATCATGTTACCTAGTTTCTCATTTTCCCCATGTTATATTTATTTCACCACATTTCTACATCAGTTTCTGATTTTTTTAAAAAGAGCGATTGGAGATCTTTTGCTGGTGTAGTGGACACAATTCCTATGACAGAAAGAGAAGGCTGCGGGAGAATTGGTAGGGAATATGCCCGGCAGTTGGCAAAGGACAATGTGCCCTTGCCTGGGTATTGGAGAAATGAAACTTGCCACCTAACTGCTGTCTCTATAAAAATAAAGGCACAAGAGGAAAGCTGACATGTTGTGGTTTTGAATGCCAGTTGTTTGGATGGTTTCGTTTCTAAAGTTAACTTGAAAACTCTTGAGAGCCAATAAATGCAAATACAGCAGCAGTAGTTTTTCCTCTCAGGAAAGCAGCACCCCTGTTTCTTTGGATCCTTTGATAGGATAATAGATAATTTTTGTTTTCCAGGTCATTAAGCATGTGAGCAGTGGGTTTTCTAATGCAGCTGTTCTTAAAATAATAATTATTACAATTTTATTGAGTTTTATAAATAACACACACACACACACACACACACACACACACGGTATTAACTCAATAAAATGCATCACTTAGAAACTGCAGTGTTAGGTGACATATAAATTCTGGAAAGAAATACATTAAAAAGTTTCGGCTACATATTTGTGAATATACTTTTAAAGAAGCAAACTTTGTGTGAAAATATATGCTTCAACCATGAGCAGAAACTGTGTGTAGGGATGGAGTATAAGAAAAGCCCTGCTGGATGAGACCAAATGGGTCCATCTACATTCCAGTTACAAAGTGTGTGGTTGACCACGTGCATCTACCAGTAGACATGACTCACTTGTAACATCGGAAGCCAGTCAGAACCTTTTCTGTGTCTGTGCATCAGCATCACTTGGAATGCCATTATGTCTCAGGGTCCTGTTCACTTGATAGCTGCTGAATCACAATTGAACATGTGTTTTGCAGTCACAGGTTTCCAACCTCAGGAAGGTGAGGTATCTAAGCTCTTGACTTCACCCCAGGAATTGGGATCGGGAAGAAATATGGGGCACATTTCAATGTGAAATCACCTAATATCCAAACTTAGTCTTTGCCCTGCTCTTTCCAGGCAGAGGTCTGCACTGTAATGCCCTATATTGGAGCATTATTATTTTTTTGCCCTGAGTTTTCCCTGAGAAAACCCACTGCCTAAAACTGAATCAGAGCAAATGCCAATTTGGATTTTCCACAGATTGACATTTGCTCCAACTGAGCTTTAAAGAGTGGGGTTTTGCAAGGAAAGCTCCGGACCAAAGGGGAAAAAAATTGAGGACTCAGACACAGAGCTTTAAATTGCGGACTGTAAGAGTGAATAAGCCCCAATCCACACTCCGAGCCATGTGAACTGAAATGCAGCTGTTTGTTTGACATTTGCACTTCCCTGAGTTTAGTGTTGCTGTTCTCCAACCAAAATAATGTGTACAAAAATGTATAGATGAGAGGAAAGTGTGTATGAAAATGTGTCTACCTGTGAAAATAGCATATGTTATGGACCCATAATGTTATGTTATTGTTAGGGGAAATTGCCTGCATAATTTATATTTTGTTGTTGTTTAGTCGTATCCGACTCTTCGTGACCCCAGAGCACGCCAGGCACTTCTGTCTTCCACTGCCTCCCCCAGTTTGGTCAGACTCATGCTGGTAGCTTCGAGAACACTATCCAACCATCTCATCCTCTGTCGTCCCCTTCTCCTTGTGCCCTCCATCTTTCCCAACATCAGGGTCTTTCCCAGGGAGTCTTCTCTTCTCATGAGGTGGTCAAAGTATTGGAGCATCAGCTTCAGGATCTGTCCTTCCAGTAAGCACTCAGGGCTGATTTCCTTAAGAATAGATAGGTTTGATCTTCTTGCAGTCCATGGGACTCTCAAGAGTCTCCTCCAGCACCATAATTCAAAAGCATCAATTCTTCGGCGATCAGCCTTCTTTATATTATATTAGAGTAAGAAGTGTATATATAGAGAGAAATGCATACAAAAATGTGTCTCTTGGGAAATATGCACTTTAAATGGCTGTTCAATTTTCATGAGAATTTTTTTTTAAAATAATAAAATAAAAATCCAAGTTGATGTGGAAGTGTGGCAAATTAGTCTTAAGATTGAAAAACTGGGTAAAATGGAGCTGGTCGGATTCATTCATCCCTATCTGTATCACTGTGTACACAAGGGTGCACAGTGTTTTGTCACCAGAAAGCGAAATCCAAAGAAAACATGGCATCCTGCCTTTCTGCATCCTTTTAAGTCCTTACAAAGAAACAAATATCCGTAGTCAATGGGGAAAATACAGGAGCAGGCAGTGGCAGAGGCTGTGGTTGGGTGGCAGTGCTCACTTGACCCTCTCAGCAGCTGAGTCCCTGCTGCTTAGAAGGAAGACGAGGGGAGTCAACTGAGAGTTTGGTGTGGTGCAAACAACCTCCCTTCCATCTTGCCACCATGTTGTCCATTACTAGGAGCGGGAGATAAAACCCCTCCAGAGTTATTAAAATCAAGTTCCTAATGTGGAATATAAATAAATGAACCACAACTCTTCAGATAGCAAAGCAGGTGGGAATAGATCTAAGGGAATCTAAATTTCCGAGAGAAACGGTTCCAGTGATTGTGACAGCCATTTAATTAGGGGATAAATGCCGAGCCTTCAGTTTAAAAATGTCTTTCCAAAACAGCAGTTTGTAGAACAAGCATTCTTCTTCCCTCAGCAGGGGAGAAACTGTATGCCAATACATTCTGAATTAGGTCATATAATCTCTCAGGTCCAGCTAGTCCACAGAGTCTATTCTGCATAGGCAGTGAGCTGAGTGTTTTACATTTAACTAAAGATCAGCCATTGTGTGTGTGTGTGGGGGGGGGAACCTTAGCAGTTGGATACATGTTTCAGTAATGAGGTTATTCTAGTACCATTATTTAAAAAAACAAAAAGCTTGTGTACACACACACACACACACACACACAGACACAGTGAGACTCAAAGAAGAAGAATGCTAATTTATGAACACTTAGTTGATCCAAATTTTCATAAGTTTTGGGTCAAAATCTATCCAGTATATTCAATGTGGGAGAATCTTTTGGTAAAAACCGTTAAGCTGTTCTCCCAAATACAACTGTTTTTTAATAAAAGTTTCATTGGTTTCTGAAGGACCTACAAGGTAAGGTCCAATACTTGTAGGCCTGAATATCCCAGTTGTGACCCAGATACTTTATTCTTTGCTTTTTAGGTTGGTTTTTTTCATGGTTCCAGTCTGGCCCTTCCCGCTTCCTCAGTTCAAAATGAAGACCAGGTAGGCTGGAGTTTTTATGATTCTCTATTTATCGGTATTGAATTTATATCCATCCCGCTTTTCCTCCAAGCGGGTCAAAGTAACATTCATGTTACTTTGCCCCATGTTATCGTCTCAGTAACCCTGTGAGGTAGGTTAGGTTGAGAGACAGTGACTCACTCAAGGTGATACTGTGGGCTTTCTGACAGGGTAAAGTGTTGAAACAGGGATGCTCCAGTCCTAGTACACAAAGGAGCCCTCCATCTTATTCCACATTCTGAAAAGAAGGCATATAAGTAGGTAATATGGGGAAGGGAAGTAATCTTTTCCCTTAGGTCTAGAAATTTATGGGAGCCCTTGTTAACAGTTCTGTGTGGCACTTTTAAGATTAACTAGTTCAAGTTGCATTCCTGTACACATTTATCAGGAAACAATCCATATGAAATTCCTTAATAAACATACAAAACCTCCAGCCGCAGATATATTTTCTGATTATTTTTTATTATTTGTTATCATACAGAAATAGGTGTAACTTACAAATATCACACTATTGCAATTTTTTTGTTGTCTCCTCCCTTGACATTGCCTATGGCAACGGCTCTTGACTGTTTTGAAAGCTCAGATCCCACACGCAAAACATACCAGAAAAAGTTGATGAGTTTTATTCAGTATTACGACAATATTTGAACACGGCGATGGATTAAGAAATCCCTTTTGGTGCAAAAATAATCAGAAATTAAATTAATGTAAAAATCTTCAAAGGGCCAAATCTTCTATAAAGCATTGTTTCAAAAATCAGAAAAGCCAGGAATAATATTATACCTCTGGGCTACAATCCTGCATGTAGTTACAGGCTCTTAGTTCCACAGATCTGTATAGGAAGGGTTCAAGAGCACTGCAAGGATATAAAAGATGACTGGCTATTTTCATTTCTGACAGTAGGCCAATGAACATGAACTTATCATGGGCACTTATCTTCATAAACTGCTTTCTGAACATTGGTGTGCAACACTTTTTAGAGGTTATGTTTGCCTTTCTTAACTAGTTTCACAGGTGGCAGTTAAACACATTTTTTCATTGCAATCAGTGGGTGTACTGGATTTTACGAAGTAAGACTTAGAATTGTCAGTCTATTCCTGCTTTATGTCCTTGAATTATACTCGTCCCCTGCATGCTGCTAGTTAATCATTCTTTCTGCCTAAGTTCTGAACAAGTTGTCTGTCACTCTCTTCCTCTAGTAAAGCAGGTGTGGTGGTAGCTGGGACTAAACCATTGTCGAACTCCCAATCCACACTGGTACAAAGTAGACAAGGAGAAAGCTCTTTAGAGAAGGCATTGAAACTCACCGTTTAGTGTGTGACAACCACGGACCCAAAATAAATACCACGATACAGAATGGTATGGAAGAGTGCTGTGTGTGGGCTTCATGCAGGTGCAAATTTTGACACTTGCAATATGGGAAAGGCGATAGTCCTAATTGTAAAAGTAGGACAGTAAGTATGATGGACTTAAATCCAGAGGAATCCACACTGAAAGGAAAGATGCTAAGCCAGGCCAGCATAGAAATGATTAGCAAGAGCTATACTTAATGCTGCAATCCTACATAGATGTCACAGGCATTACATAAAAAAAAAAGAAACCAAGTCAAAATGTTGGTGAGGAGTTTCTGTATTAACCCAGCAAGAGCAATGTATGTGCAGTGATACAGATTTCTGTAGAAGAACCGCCCTTTCAGCTTGGTTCTTGCAAATAAATTTTTAAAAACCCACTGGGAAAGAAAACCATAGTCTCTCCATTCAGGCCTGAACATTTGGTGTAGTTTTGTGATTCCATCACACGACCCTCCTCCCAGTTAGCAAGGTTTGTTCCATGGGGAGATCTTGAATGCAGCAAAGTGTGGGCAGCCCCACTGCTGTACACATGGATCTCTGTAGCACAGAGGCACTCAGGAATGAGTATAGCAGAACAAGTGGCAGTTACCCAAGCCCCAAGATGAGAAGATGGCATACCTTCCAGAACTTTAAAGCCCAAATACAGGATGCAACATTCCCGTTTTTTATCATGAGAGCATGGCTGCAGTTTCCACCCCCAAACATACTTTTTTGGGCACGGCGCCTCAAAGTTCTGCAAGATCATGGCAACCAAAAAGATCGCTGTTATCTTGCAAAAAAACGGGATGTACCTTTCTTCCCAGAATACTTCCAGAGTATGAGATATACAATCTTAGCCTTGGAGGTTTCTGGTCTTACGCCATATATGTGTATCTCTTTCCAAAAGGCAGTGGAGCACATTGGTGAACTTAATCCTTGAAACTGGGTTTTGGGTGAAATGTTCAGAACACAAGCAATACAGATATTGTTTGTTAGCTGTATTCAGATCTAATATCTATCAGCAGAGATTATGATGTTGACGTCAGTTAAGGCTGTGCACAGGAACATCTTTATATGTAAGATATATACAGACTTTTAAATTCAATTCAAATGGTTTTTAAAACAGTGTGGCCCAGTTTTCACAGGCTCAGCAGGAAATCCTCGATGCTTTGACACCATCACCTTTTCTGCCTCAGTGAGCAGAGAAATTGTTCAGTTCTTCATACAGGAACATTTGAAAGATAGGAGCACATCACATTACAATGCAAATGAGGTATTCTGGACTTATTGTTGACGAGAGATATCCAACACAGACCATTTCAAAAGCCTGCCAAGTGGGAACAGGATTCTAGCTGGGAAACATTTTACAAGAGTACAATTGCAAAAAAAATTATAACATTAGAAACCGGTTCCTGCCCCTCACAGTACCAAATTCAATCTTCATTACCTGGAGAGTATTTCAAAATGGCTTTAATTAGGTGCACAAAAAGGGCACAGTGGACAAATTACACATCCTCTTGTAACAGACGAAGTGAACAAATGTTAATTGCTTATACCATGCAACAAATGACTTCTCGCATGGCAGCATATATTAGGTGCAAATAGTGTAATTGCAAATTATTGTTTAACAGCACAAAAAAGGGGAGGAAAGAGGATGAAATGAAATGATAAAATATAAGCTACATCACTCTGATTGTTTCAATACATTCTGTCTGGAGACAAAATGATTGATAGCTGTTCACTAATGAAATTTTTGTGTATTTCATGACATAACTAGTGAATTTTGGTTAGATTCAGTGGGTGAAATCCCATACTGGGCATACTCAGAGTACATTAAGTTACTTAAGTCCATTGATTTCAGTGAATATACTCTGAGTATGAGTTAACTGGCTATCACTCAGGGTGCATGTCTGAATTAAAGGGACACAGCCATGAACCAGTAGCTCTAAAATGTGTGCCGAGCCCCATTTGCTTTCCTGAACAGGGAAAATCCCAGTAAACTTTGTTTTGTATGTAAAAGGAAACAGGCAGCATCAGTTTGTGGTAGAGCTTTATGTTGTGGTCATTGAAGGCCAATGCTCAGTTAAAACTACAGAAGAATATTTGCTTCAGTCCTCCAGTGTATGAATTCTATTTCCACATGAACCATCTTAATATCTTGGGGGAAATTACTGTGCTTGTTTCAGTCTCCAAAGAATGGTGTTTACATGCGAATATATTCCTTGCATAATGCCAGTTTTCTTGTGTGAATTTGAAACAACTGTAAACTTTTGGACATAACAATAACAAATAATTCAAATTCAGTTTATTCTTTTTAAAGTCTGGAAATGAAGTATTTCTGTCCAAAATCTGATACAAGTCTCATAGAGGAGAGTGTTGATATTTGCTCTTACATGGTTCCTTTTCTCGCACGTGGTACTTAAATGCAAAAGCTTAATTGTGAGCACAGGTGTGTCTCATATAATATTTTGTTGTTGTGTGAATTACTGATTAGAATTCCGTAGTATGAACTAGGAAACTATAACAACAACTCTTGTTCTCAGCCCGTCCATGTGCTGAATATTATTAATGAAAGAGACTTAAGTTGCCCGGAGTGGCTGAAGCAATCCAGTCAGATGGGCGGCATATAAATAATAACATTATTATACTACTTTTTTATAAAGTACATGCTTAACTCTTCCATTGACATGAATGGGACAAAGAGTGCTTGCTTTGGTTGGGACATGACCTTACATGAAGATAAGGGATCAATATGCATTTAAAAGCACCATTCCATGATGCAAAGGCCTTTGTATCCTCTGCATATATGGACTGTTATGCACATGAGAAATATGTGCAAAGAATGTGCCACTGAAGTGAATGGGGAAGCCCCCGAAGGAAAACAATTCTGTGAGGATATCAAGCCTGCAGGGCCTGCAAGGAACAGTTATCTAGCTATGTCTTACCCTTTGACCCTAAACACATATGTTTTCAAGAATTGGTGCACTAGACTGACCATAAGCAAATCAAACTGCTGAAGTAAATGTTTTTACACACATATATCACACACAAATCAAAGGCAATATTTTACATTATATCTTATAAAACTGTACATTGTAATATTCTGTGTTATGAAAACTACTATTCAGTTATGCGAACGACTGGCTTTGTTTAGTAAATATAAATCAGAGGCAAAAATGACTTACAATTGTTAATTCGACTCAGATTGTATTGTATAGATTTTCAATGGCACTGTAAAAAGAGTTGTCAAAAATACATGTATTTGCCCTCTCCCATCTAATGGTGGTATTGTAACATCTTGTCAAGCTGTCAAACACATCAGTTTCATTTTGTAACTGAAAAGCCCTCATTACAATAACAAAAAGGAAAAAGAAAACATGTATTAGAGAACAAGCAGAAAATAATGTATTTATTATTCTAGGTTGATGTTTCTTTCATATTTATTATTTTCTATCATAGCACAATAAAACATTAATTGTAATTAAACGGAAAACTATGGGACACACTGTTCTTCATAGCTCTGTAGAGCATCAATATCTCTTTTGAGATAAAAGGTAATAACTTTTGGTAGCTAGATGGAAACATTTGCTCCAGTTCGGCAAGAGCGACTCATGCACCAGTCCTCTGCTGGACCATGCCCCACACGAGTAA